AATCTCTATGCCTGTTTCTAAAATGAGGAGAAACGATATACAGGAAAAAGGACTATATAATATAATATAATACCACTGTATTAGGACTTGTTTTAATTACACTTTGTATACCCCCTTGATTTTTTGGGATATAGAGTAGCATAAAACTATTTTGAATTAAAGATAAATCAGTGATTTTCAGGTTGTTCTGCAGTTAATCATTTGAATCTAAATAATTTCCTTTTGGTGAAGATGACAAAGTCAAACAATATAAAGCGATGTAATTCTGTTTTCTTTATATAGTATTATGCTGTTGCAAACATTGTGTTCCCTTGTGCATGATTTTCTCATAAAGAATCTATTACTGCCACTAAAATGTATATTTTGAAACAAGAATTTTTTTTCCACTCCCTTTTGGAAGAAATTTATTTGCAAAGCTATTTTTAAATCTGTCAGGAAATATATGGCCACACTTATAATGTCTTAACTATGTGGGCATTTTTTTATTGCTAGTGTTATTAACATTATTATCCCTTCTGGCAAAAAGCAATAATAACAAAGGAAAATTAAGGAGATTTTTCTGAATGCCATTGGAGCTTACTGTATTATTATTTATTTTTTTAAAAAAGGAAGAGCAATGCAAAATAAGACCAAAACTACAGACACCAATCAAACTGTCAAAATATAAAGCTGATTCTACAAGTGAAGTCTACATGTAAATACAGTTATTCATATGCATTTGTAGGAATAAAAATGTGTATTTATGTACATATGCACCCTGTTGTCGTATAATTTGCACCTTTGATACATTCCTTATAAACTAAAATACTTCAGAATTTAGAAGTACAAAGAAGTCATCCCTCTGTTGAAATGATAGCCCTTACTTACTGAACTTTCAAATTTACATTCCTCACAGATGCTTTCCAAAACTGGGCTGCTAAAAGTCGTAGTCATTGTTTGATTGCTGTAAGCTAAATAAAAGGTGAAAAATTAATTTAATCAGGGTTGCTCCTTCCAGTTTCACAGAATCTGTGACTGAGTTGCCATTTGCAAGAGAATAATGAAGTTTTAAGGAAAATAATGATGAAAATAAAGCCAAAGTGAGTTGGAATATTCATAAAACGTACCACCTCCAGAAATCTGCTATATGATCGATCAAATTCCCATTAGAGTTGTCTCCACATTTCCAGGTAACATAGACAGTCATTTTGACTTAATGGTTAAGCCACCAGTTAGAAACTAGGTGAGTTCTAGTCCCATTTTAGGCATAAAAACCAGCTGAGTGACTTTGGATCACTTAGTCTTTCTCAACATAGCTCATCTCACAGGACTGTTGAGGCAGAAGAATAAAAGGAAGGAGCATTAGGCTTGTTTGCCACCTTGAATTATTTACACAAATAATAACAGTGGAGAAAATAATCTTTATTTAATCTAATCATTTATACTCTTTTAACATCTGTCATGGTGATCCAGAATCACCAATTTGAAAGTAAAATGAGCACAAAAAAATCACTCATAGTATAGTGGGCTCTAATAATAATTTGATCATTTAATTGATCAAATTATTAGTGATATGTATTCTGATAGAAATAATTTGTTCAAGGAGACTTCTTTGGAATTCTGTAAATATGGGATGTGAGAAATCTTCAGTAATTGTTGCCATTAAAAACATTGTGATCGATGTTTTAATAGCATTCCTAGAGATAATTGATTTTTCCCAGGCTCGACTCTGTTCACAATTATGGTTTATTTTTATAAAAATCAAACTTGAGTCAAGATAATTTGATTTAGATAAATGAAGTTTTATTGAGATTTTAAGGTACAGTTTTTAATGACATTTATTCAATGTCTACTAGTGTTTTAAGCCTAACATGTAATTATTTCAATAATTTCTTTTGTTTTACTATGGCAAAAATATTCTACCTGCTGTTTCTTTGACATAAAACTTCAAAGAATATTCTAGAGAAGTGCCTTTCAGACTTGGCAACTTAATGCTGGCTAAGGCGTTCTGGGAGTCAAAGTCCACACATCTGAAAGTTGCCAAGTTGGAAAATCAACTGTGCACAATCAATTTACAGAAGGTTTGGTGGCTGGATTTTTTAAATCATTTGTGTCTGAGGGAACTTTCTATTTGAATTACTATTGCCTTCTGCCAGACCTTAAAATTGAAAATGATCTTCTATACCTTCCAGAAGCTAGGAATCAGAGACAGACGTAGCTAACAACCACACCTTTCCCTTCAAATTATATTGTACATCCTTTCCTCTCTTGTTGGCCTTTCAGTTTCACTTCTGACTTTTATTGCTTTGTAAAATTTTATCCAGAGCTCTATCCAATGTCATTAATCCATTAATACAATGTCAGAAGCACAAAGTGTGGTATTTGGTGAATTATTTCCTATAATTGCTCTTGCATAGCTTCAACTCTCCCTAAGGCCATTGCAAAAGTGGTGTTTGAATGTCAGAAACAATAAATTAATAGAATTCCAAAGAATCCAAGTGAAGAAAGTGCCATAAAGAAGGCTGTGTAGATGTGGATTATGCAAAAGTTTCTTTCCAGTAAAGGTCAGTGTGAAGACTGCAAAGCTGGTATACAGTGCAGTTGAGAATAGACTTTCTAGTTTTTGATTCTTGGGTCATTGAATGGGAAAATGGCAGAACTCCCACATTGAAGCATCAGGGTGCTAAGGGAGGGATGAGGATGCTGCAGAGAGTTGCAGGAGGCAGTGGGAAGGTCATACTGCAAGCTATGTGTGAATCTAAACGAGGCTTTGAATGCCCAGCACGAGCTGAGTGCAATCAGAGGGGGAGCTTGGTTGGCTCAGCAGAGCATGGATGAATCTAGAAAGAAGTTGAGGGAGAACTTGGAAGGCCCAGGGCAGGCTGCAGGGGAGTTGGGGAGATACTGAGCCAGCAGAGATTGCACAAAAATGGGAGGATGCTACAAGTGGAAATGACTTATCAGAGCAACTTCTGATCTTTCCTGCTGGATTCCCCACCGACTTCACTTGTGAGAAGCTAATGGAATATCACAAATGATGATCATAGGCCATAGCTCTCTGAGATGTCATATTTGCAAGCTAGGCATCAAAGGACCTCTATTACCATCCCAGTGCCAAAGAAGCCCTCCATCAAGGAACTGAATGACTTCAGACTGGTTGTTCTAACATCTGTAGTTACAAAAAGCCTTGAAACACTAGTGCTGGCCCGCCTGAAAACCATCATGGATCCGCTGTTAGACTCCTTGCAGTTTGCCTCCCGAACATATAGATCAGCAGATGATACTGTTAATATGCCTCTGCACTACATCCTACAACATCTTGAATCTCCAAAGGCCTCTGCAAGGATCCTCTTTGTAGACTTCAGCTCAGCATTCAATACCATCATTCCAGATATTCTTCTAAGTAAATTAAACCAACTAGCAGTACCTGACCAAACTTGTAAATGGATCATAAGCTTCCTAACAGACAGGAAGCAGCAGGTGAAGCTAGGCGGAATCACATCCTGTACAATCAGCACACACCCCACCCAGGCTGTGTGCTCTCTCCACTTCTCTCTATATACCAATGACTGCATCTCAAAAGATTTATCTGTTAAAGTACTGAAGTTTGCAGATGATACAACAGTGATTGGTCTTATTTGAGACAATGAGGAATCTGCATACAGATGGGAGGTTGAACACCTAGCCTTGTGGTGCAACCAGAATAATCTTGAACTAAACACAGTCAAAACCACAGAAATGATGGTATGTTTTAGCAGAAACCCTCCTATACTACCACCTATTACAATCCTAGACAACAATAGAGACCTTCGAGTTTCTAGGTTCTATCATATCTCAAGACTTAAAATGGACACCTAACATCAAAAATGTCATCAAAAAACCACAAGAATGTTTTTTCTGCGCCAACTCAGAAAGCTCAGGCTGTCCAAAGAACTGTTGATACAGTTTTACAGAAGAATTATTGAATCTGTCATCTGCACCTCTGCAGCCAAACAAGAGAGACACAGAGTTCAACAGATAATTAAAACTGTAGAAAAACAATTGCTACCAACCTACCTTCCATTGAAGAACTGTATACTCCATGAGTCAAAAAGAGGGCTGTGAAAATATCTACAGACCCCTCACATCCTGGACATAAATAGTTTCCTCAAAACAATGTTATAGAGCATTGCACACCAGAACAACAAGACACAAGGACAGTTTTTTCCTGTGTGCCATCACTCTGCTAAACATCTAATTCCCACAACAGTCAAACTATTTACTAAGACTGTATTACTATTATTCTCATCCTTCCTATTACCTATCTCCTTTCTACTTATGACTATAACCTTGTTTACAATTTATATTATATCATTTAGTTTCCTAGTATGATTTTGATTGCTTATTTAGTATCCTATGACTATCACTAAGTGTTGTATCTTATGATTCATGATGAACGTACTTTTGATGACTATGATCATGATTTATCACTTATATCTTTTATGTACACTGAGAGCTTATGCACCAAAGACAAATTCCATGTGTCCAATCACAATTGTCCAATAAAGAATTCTATTCTGTTCATCCAGTAATACAGTTAACAAGCATGTATGTATGTATGTATGTATATGTGTATGTATGTATATGTGTATGTATATGTATTTATTTATTTGCTGGTTAATATTTTAAAATTGTCAAACATCTCTTGGCTTTATGTCATTTCAGGGAATAAAGTTTATGATTTTAAGTACTTCTACATGAACATAACTGCAATTGATTGTACTTTTCGATATTCTTTTATTGTTTTTTAATCAAACAGTACACATCTGGTGTTTAGACTGATTTTAAATTAATGCAACTATTGTTGAATAGTTTTGTAATTATTCATGTTACAAAAATATTAACTATGCATTTTACATTCTTACTTGTGCTTTTAATTTCAGAAGCCAGGCAAAATTGCAAAACTGTAGCTAAATTAAACCAAAACTATTGGTTTTTCTCCTCCAAGTAAATAAAAAGAATGCCTCTTCTTTGTTTTTCAGCTTCAAAGAAGACTGGATTAGAGACATGGCACAAACACGCTGTTCTGGAGAATGTGACTTACAAAATAAATCGGCAAAAACCAGTAATGCACTTGGTAAACATTTGGCCCCTGGACATAGTGGTGGTATACAGAGCATCCATACAGTACATGCGGTAGACGTTTACGGGCAGGATACAGATATCCTTGGAAAACTGCATACTCACTTACCTGGATAAACAGCCTCCAACCGTTAAAAGTTGTCTTGGACCAAAGGAAATTGTGAATACACATGCTTACTGAATGTGCCTTAAAAACAACATAAAAATAAATGTCTGTCCCTCATGTATCTGTTGCGGTAAATGCTATAATATAGCTATAATTTATCAAATTGCCCAAAATATGGAAAATTAAATTCAGTGTCACAAAAAAGCAAAATAAAATGCATTTTTTATATTTACTAGGGTAGCGCATGCTTAAAAAACAATTAAGAAGAAATTACTTGGATTTGCACAAACACAGCAGCACCTCCTTTCATTAAAGAAGCATAACTTACTCCAGGTGAGCTTCAGTAAATAGGTGCTGCTGCTTTAATGAATGGGAGAGAGGCTGTACTCTGTTCCAAAGCACTTTGGAATTATTTTGATGTTTGTGTGCACCTACAATTTAATATCGAACTACCATTTCTACACTTTGCTCAAAAAATAAAAAAGGGATGACATCAAGAAAGGAATTGTATATTGTTTTATGTGCTTCAATGTTGGCTCTTACCAGTTTGTACCTTTTCTGCATGTGAAAATCCTGATGATAGTGAGGATGAATTCAGAACTGCAAATTTAGTTTACCTTCTCTTTTTATAGATATAGATATAGATATAAAATGTATTTTTGCACAATAAGAAGAAACTGAAATAAATATATATTTTAATGAGAAATTGGTCAAACAAACATGTTGCTTCAGTGTCCGGATTGCATTATAATCTTCCATTCCAGGTCCTTTAACATGTGTCCAGACTATTTGAGCTGTGGTGATGCAAATGGTTAGAATGCAGTATTGCAGGCTAATTCTGCCGTCTGCCAGCAATTCAATCCTGACCGGCTCAAGGTTGATTCAGCCTTCCATCCTTCTGAGGTTGGTAAAATGAGGACCCAGATTGTTGGGGGCAATATGCTGACTCTGTAAACCACTTAGAGAGGGCTGTAAAGCTCTGTGAAGTGGTATATAAGTCTGAGTGCTATTGCCATTGTTAGGAGAGCTTCGGTACCACTTTTCCATTTATTGAATGTCACAGCAGCTAATGTAAAAATAAAGTGAAATTCTTTTGAAAACAAAAAAGCAAGTTCAAGTGTAACAACCTAATTTCAAAGCAAATAAGTGAAAAAAGCTGCCATATCAATCAATTGAAACTGAAATTACCCACTGGTGGCTTTAATAAAAAAAATCATAGGGTGCCTAAAAGGGATAAAATCAAAGTTATGTGAAAAAGAGAGAATGGCTTATTTTTTTAATAGCCATGCAATTATCCTTTGAAGCACAGCTTCTGATGATTATCTTAATAGAGGAGCTGATTTGTTCTTATAAGTATAAGAACGAAGATTATGAGAGAATAACAATTCTGAGATACCACCCTCTGATTCTTAAAAGTATTCAATGGTAATGAATTCTAACAAGTCAACAATAAAAAAAAATGCAATAATGGACAATACAAAGAAAAAAGTATGGCAAGGATGACAAAAAAGGAAAGGAAAATCCAAACAATCGGGGGTGGGGTGGGGAGGTCATTCACTATTTATTTATTAGGTTTTTATCCTGTTTCATATTATTTTATAACTCAAGGTAGTGAGAACACCTAATACTATTCCTTCCTCCACCACAACCCTGTGAGGTGGTTGGGGCTGAGAGAGAGTGACTGGCCTAAAATCACCCCACCAGCTTCATGCCTAAAGCGAGACTAGAACTTACAGTCACCTGGTTTCTAGGCTGGCACCTTAACCACTACATGAAACTGACTCTCACTAATGCTAATGCTAACTCATCCTCATGAAAGCCCTGAACCAAAGGTTCTAGTAGAGGTGTTGTCCAAAGTCTCAGTGTCACACAGTGGAACAGGGTTTTTAGACTGTTCCATGGAACCTAAGATTCTTAAAGAGCTTGATGAATTCCATGAGAGTCTAATGACAAAATGAAGAAATTCATTTAGAATCATAGCATCCTAGGACTGGAAGAACTTTGGATGTCTTTTAGTCCATCCCCTGTCCAAGGCTGGAATCCTTAATACCATCCAGGACAAATGATTATCCAATTTCTTCTTGAAAACCTCCAGTGATAGAGCATCCACAACTCTGGAGGAAAGCTTGTTCCATTAGATGTTCTCTTCAGCCTTCTCTTCATTAGGCTAAACGTATCTAATTCTCTTAACCATTTATTATATGATTTAGCCTCCAGGCTCTTCTCTGCACATTTTCTATGGCCTAGGCATTTTTTCTGTATCGTGTGTTAATTTACATACGATTTTGCAAATATTTTGGCAGCCTAATCATAAGAAAAAGCATACTCTAAATGCAGTAATAGAACGAACAAGCATAAAAGAAGTATCAAAGATCAAATATCTAGGATCATATACAATGCAATAAGGCAAACCAAGAATGAGGACACTTTGCTCCACTCCTACAATATAAGGCAGTACCAATCAGCACAAAGAAGCATCTCGTATAAGGCCTACTCATCCCCACCCTATGTGACCAGGGCCAAACATGGACATTTACAACAAAACATGAACAAAGTTAGTCACCACGGAAATGAGATGTTTTAGGAAAGCTGCCAGAGTGACCAGATGAGATAAAATCAGAAATGGGACCATAAGAGAAAGAATTGGCATAGAACCAATCTTAAACTATACACAAAAACAGCAAATAAAGTGGTTTGCTCGCCTGAAAAGGATGTCATGGGAGTCCTATACTGAACAAGGCATATACAAAAAGAGAAGGTTAAAGAACACAAGGCAGATCCAGAAGAAGATGGAGAAGCAACATCAAAGCACACTACAACAGCATCAGATAACAATGGTTGAGGCTGCCAGAAGAGCAAGAGCCAAAACTTTGTTTCTCCCCTGACACCTGAAATGGTAAAAGAGGAAGTAAAGAAGCCATAGCTAGTAACTTGTAAAAAAAAGTTTTACAGAATTTGAACATCAATATTCTGCACTAAAGTGTTGCAGCTATTATAACCATCTTGCAGATGTTGTGCCTCCAAGCCAGGACTGATTCCTGACAATTTCCTGGACATGTCCCTGTAGTTGTTTTTTTTAGCAAGATTTCAAAAGCAGTTTGCTCTTACATTCTCTCTAGGGCTGAGAGAAAGTGACTGGCTCAAAATCTCCCAGCTGGCTTTCTAGCTAAGGTAAGACTAGAGCTCATGGTCCCCTATTTTCTAGCCTGATAACTATTACATCAAACATATTGTTGATAGGGGATGACAAAAATGCAGAAAGACTACAAAAATAATGGGATTTTCATGTTCATGAAAATTTGAAACTTGCAACTCCTTGTTGCCTAGCTACTACTATATGCATCTTATACGTATAGCAGAGAAAACAGGAAGAGGCAAAAACTAGCAAACTAGCAATAGAGTGAAGGCAGATAAGGCTTAAGGAAGTGGCTGCTGGTGCTTCATAATGCATTTTGTTGTTCAGCATGTGGTCCCAAAAAGAGCAATAAACATTTTCACCTAGAGAACAATCTCTATCCCTATCAAAGACAGAAATGCACGAAAATAAGTAATACAGCATATTCCTATTAAACCATTTTAAAAAAAAAATCCAAAATAGAAATAATAACACCAACGATAATCAGAAAAAAACAAAGATACCAAGCCTTGGGAAAGCAGTAGATTTACAGAAGGAATATTATTAAAACATTAAGATTTAATTTAAGCAATTTGGTCCTGCAAAGTACAAGGTGCTTTATTAAGAAATTTCACCCAGACAATTTGGTGATGATTATCTTATGTTTCTTCTGTTTATGATAATGATATCCCTGGAGCTTTAATTATTGCTCATGTAAGAAATTATGAATCATTTAAAAAATGAATAAAAATGAAAAGAGATGAGTAAACCCAGCAAACATATAAACTAACACATTTAGAGAATTATAGTCTTCCCGTTTTTATCAGTTAATGAATTGGAGCAGGCTGTCTTGTAGATTGCTTTAATGTGCAAAAGAGCATGCAGTTCTAGCCATATGGTTCTTCCAGTTTTACCTCTAATCATCTAGTAGTAACAATCATCAATAATATGTGCACTTTCGATACTTCCACTGCCCCAGCTTCTACTCAACCTGTTTTATTGGTTGAATCTTGTTTGCATGATATAACAGTATTACGTGAGACAGGAAATGATCACAAGTAACAGTATTATTAAGAGCCTTCTGTTTTTATCAGGCTCACCTAGACAATTTTAGAATCAAAGCCAGACAACACATTACATAGTAAAACTCTGAAGGAAATGCTTATTACAAACTCAAGCAATAAGATGTTCAATGCTCCCTATGGCACCTATAATAATTCACTGAACATAGCGCAAAAAATCTACAAGTCTTAAGATTGTTGTGTAACCTCACACTCTTGAAGATAGCAAGCTGAGTTTCCAAAGTTTGGAATGGCATTGTTGATTATCCCATTCTGAACACAGCAAGCTAGCCTTAGCAACTTAGCTCATTGAACAATTATTTATGTGGCCCCTGTTCTGCCTCTACCTTCAATCGGGACACTAGTATATCTTCAGTGGTGCCTAATGTCACTTGACCTGGAAAATCAGGTGAATTTAATGGATCCTCTTCCGAGATAAGTGAAAGTTGTTCTTACTTCTTATACCTTACCTACCTCACTGATAGAATACCTGTCCAGAGATTCTTCAGGGGAATCATCTTTAAATTCCAGGAATCTGAAGTGGTCCATTCATCCAGTCTTATGTTTGAGTCCATTAATGGGTTGTTTACAGTTACCCAATTTTCCAGAGTACTTCCAGGATTTAAGAACCATTTTGCTCATGAAGCAGTAGATTCCCCCACATCTAACTATTGTATTTATTGGCTTTTAGCAGGTTTGTAGAATGATCTACCTACAAATTGTACAATTTTTAGTTATTATTGAATTACTTTCTATGCAACTGAGAACAGAAGGATACTCTTTATTTTGAGAGTGTGTCACAGTGGACATGTTCTATTTTTTTATTTTTTGGTATCTTAATCTGTAATTTGGATTTTTCAAAATAAATATTGCTATTCAGTTATTAATTGCACCTTTTTGTAGTTGATTAAATGATTTTTAACTGGATAATTAACCATTGTAGATTTCCCTGTAATTGTACTATAGAAAAATTACTTTCCAAAATTAATATATAACAACATCTTTATAAACATTATTCCAGGAAAGAAAAGGGTATGTCATTGTTTTGTCAACAGTATTGTCCAGTAACCCTTCAGTTAATCTCATTTCAAGCATTTTTAGGATGATTAACGATGGAACAAAAACAGTATACAGTCAGGCTGGACAACTTTCAGCAAAAAGAACTACAGTTAGGATTTTTAAAACCTTCATGAGCCATAATGAATGAAACCCAAGGGCAAAGAAATATCATTGGGTGACACATTCACCTTCCTTTCCCAGAGCAGCGTATTTTTCCAAGGGCGAAAAAGGGACCCCTGGTGGTCAAAGCTTTAATAAGGTGGACTCTCGAATTTTACTTTCACTTTTCCATAAACTCGTCATTAAACTTTTGTTGCTGGCAGCAGTTGAAGGAGACAATTTTTCGGCTTGCCAGATTTA